ACATGGCGGACGAAAAGCTCACGTTTTGTCTCCGAACGTTTCAACAGCTGCGGGTCACCACGAAGATCAGTTCTGCTCACGTTGAAGAAAACCCGTGAGACACGAGTAGAAACGTAGTACTGATTAATCACTCAATTGACAAATTTCTCTGCCTTGTGCATGAAAAAAACCAAGTTTTTATACAGTTTTCAGTCGATCATTGACGCATGAACAAAATACTCAATCTTCCTCGTTTATTTTCCGTTCCATTTGCTGAGTGCTTGATTGGCTGCCTTGAAAAAAATTGCCCCAAATATACTGGTCGATTAATCATTTACGTCAACGATGGCGCAATTGCAATTAGCAGAACTCGGTCATAGTCAGTTCTGCTCATTGTAGTTATTGTTGTTGTGATCGTCATCGGCTATAACGGCTCAATTAACTCAGAATTTATGATGTCCGACACGCAGGAAAGATGTTCCTCAGAATAATTTAAGCATTAACAGCTTCGACCAAGCAGATACTTCTCGTCGCGAGCAGATCTGCTTCCAGTACTTTATGCCAGCATTTGAAATGGCCGCCGGATTTTCTTCAGCCGTACTTGATCTTCCATAAAAACAGCATCTTTTGGATGTCTTCATTGTTCTTTTAGGCCATTTTATCGAGCCATGAAAGTCGCCGATCTCGCAGCATTTCCGAACGGTTCTTCAGTCTAATGGTTTACAGCAGGCCATCGTTCGACATCTGGTGCTACCACAGGACGTTGAGAATGCTTCGAAAGCATCGACATTGGAAATGGTTCAGTTGATCTTCTTGACACCTTACGATAACAAACGTTTCGAGGCCGTAAATGAGTATGAAAATAATCACTGCCTTCAAGATAATAACTTTCGGCTTCACTGACACCGTTCGGTCTTTCCATGTTCCCCGCGGCTCTCCAAAATCTCTGATGCTCCTCCTCTGTATCTGCTGAAGTCTGGGTCCCAGCTTCCACCGCTAGCCACAACTACAGCTAGATATTTGAAGTAGCCGACTTCCTCCAGAGTCGAATTACTCCAACGTCGGTCGTAGCTGGTGCTCTCAAGCCTTTTCTTCGTCGGGTTGACTTGTAGTGCCACATCCTCCACCATTTCGCACATACAAGCAGTTAGGTTTCCTAGGCCAGCCACTTTCGCCGTTGCTCTGAAGAACTGCGTCGTCCGCGTAGTCCAGATCGGTAAGGTGGACGGCTGGATATATTGAGCATCTTCTCGATCTGATGGCGAATCCTTCTCCATTCATCGGTACGATATTCATACGCATCACGTAGTCAACCACGATGTTTAACAGCAGCGGCAGGAGTACTTCGCCTGGTCAGACTCCAGATGAGACTTGAACCAGTCCGAGATGCCGCCTTCGCTTAGAGCCGCACAGTATGTTACTTCGTACAGTCTTTCCATCAATCCGACTATCTTCCTGGGGACACCGTAGTGAAGCTGGATGCGTTACATGGTCAGACGGTGGACTGAGCTGAAGGCTGCTCTGAAGTAAAAGTAAGTCGAGTGCCAGGGGAGCCGAAACCTCCGGAATTTTTCAATCAGGGGTCGAAGCACAAAGATGCGATCTGTGCATGAGTCTTCAGTGCAAAACCCTCGTCTGATTCACCCTCAGAGAAACATCCACTTTATTTTTGATTCTGCCGAGGACGATCCACGCAAAGACCTCCTTCAAAACCGATTTCTGATTGTTGTGTAGCATTCGAAGTCATACTCAACTACCTCTATTCGCTGAGCTTAAACCAGCTAAGAAAAACAAACGTACAGCTTTGCAGATTTAGTGAACAGTAATTTATTTCAGATGATCGAATATGTCTCAAGAAGATATAGATGATAACCTATTTCTCATGAAATATGAGTTCATATATTTCGCTAATCGTGGTTCCCGTTAATCTAACTATCAGCCACCCGTTTGCGTCATGAACAGCAGGCAGAAATTAATTTCAGTAATATTATCGATAGCTTCGCCAGTTAGCCATTAAGGCTTGATGATACCATGGCAGTTGTGGCTTTGATAAAAACTACTGAAAGTAATAATTCGCATATATTCCCAAGGAAGCATGATAAATGTTGTTCCACAAATCTTACACAGAAAGTGTCCGGCAATTTGGGTCTTCGGTTTCATCTAAAATTTACGGTTTATAAAATTTATAAAAGTATGTTGCACAGTTTTAGATCAGTTCAACTGCTTCGATTTGGGTCGTCACCACTGCTAAATGCCTTGGAGTAAAACGCGCAGCGACCTCTATGAATGCAAGGCAACACCTGTGAGATTTCTCAGACTTAGAGCTATTGCTTATACCAGCGCATATGCGAGTGAACGTGCTTAAAACTGAAAGCCCCGTGCTTTATCGATCCTCTGCCCGCTGCGTCCTGCAGATAAGCGGAGGAGCAGCGAAACAGGCTGAGAAATTCACA